AGTCCTTACAAGCGGTCGTCTTCTTAGCACGGAATGAAACCATACTATCTAATCATATAATCAGATTACAAAGTTCCATTTTACCTGTACTACAAACAAAACAAGGACAATACGAGATAAGAAATTCTCTTGCAAGATTCTATGCTCTAATCCCAGGTATATACTGCAGTCTAATATCATTGCAGCAATAGATAAAGTGCAAGAAAAACAATCTGAGTTTTTCTTGCAAGTGTAACTATCCCAAGAGAAGTCATTGAAAGCTTATACTTGTTAATCTCACCCCTTCGATATGTTTTCAGCTCGATATTTTGGGTTGATATGATAATTACATCCCGAGCCCTTTTTTTTGTAACCACTTCTTCCTGTAAAAGATTTCTTCTGTTTTGCAATGTGTTCACTGTTGTCTTGTGCCATTGAATGCTGCAGGGCTCAGCAAGCACTGCCGAACAGAAGTTCAACAGCTAAGGTTACATTATACCCAAATTGATTGTTATAAGCTACAACTTTGGCTTTGCACATTACAAATATCGTCCTCACCATTTGCGTCCCATCAGCAAAATGAACTCCCTCCTCGCTTTGTATTGAGTTATTTTACCTTGAATGACTTATGGAATAAGCAGTTTTGTGTAGTTGGTTGGAAGTACCTGTAACAGTTTGAGCAATCGGTTATCTTCTGAATTCCGATAAGATAAACTTCGTATATGAGTGGCAATAAATACAGGGCATAAAGTTCATCTCTGATACCCTTTTTTCTCTTCTGCAATTTTGATTGTCAAAGGTCTAAGTTCAGACAATTGTTTCATAGTCATTCATACAACATATATTGGCCCAAGAAAATTACACTGGGGACCATATAGATTTTTATAGAAAACGTTGAGGCGCATATTGTATAGAATCTAGTTGAATAAATGGTAGATGATGTGAGATGAAGTCAATTATAACTTTAAAAGTTCAGACTACAAACTTGAGAAAGAATTTTTAGGAAAAGCGGGATAAGTCAAGATCAATCTTTTTATTCTGTGCTTCTTTGATGATTACTCATATTAGTCATCAGGGGGAAGGATTTTCGAGAGAATCCCGATATTAAACCGTCTGTGAGCACCGGATACAACCCGAACATGAACGCCTCTTTCTTCATGTGAGTTCAGTTATATCTTCAGACATCATAATAAATACTGCAAACATCGTTTACTTTATGATAGACATCATATCTGGAAAAGATTTTCCAACTCAAATGTCTTTCGCAGTTTTACATGCCAAGATGTTTATGTTCTCAGAAACACCCTAATGATGTCGCTGTCGGATCTCATAGATTAAACTATAATATCCACGGGGCATATTCTCTAACTGATAAAGTTGAGATACAAACATATAAGTGGCCGAAGCTAATGTTATCTGCAGAAGCAAAAGAACCAAAGTTTTGGGTCTACTGACCGTGACTTTGTCTCGGTAAATCACGCCCCCTCGGACCGATGCCGATGGTGAGGTCTACATAGACCTGTCTTCACTTGGGTGGGGACTTAGAACAAGGACAGTAAAGGCTATATTTATTGGTAGATGGTCTATATGACTCAGGTACAGGACCCACAGCACCTTCACCTTTCTTTAAGGGAAGACAGGTTGTAAAGCTACATTAGCTCTTGAAGGCACAAGTTTTTTTTCAATCCTACTTCTAAGTTGATAATTGAATTACCAGAAAGGCAGTGTGAATTCCTAATAAAATGGTTTCATGTTCGAGTCTTTCGACACGTTGAGCCGGTCGATAATGACTCATTATCTGTGTTCCTTTTGTTTCTGGTACCTAAATAATATCATTAAATTAAAGATTCTTATCTGAATTAATTGATACTCGTCATTCATCGATCAATCAATCGAGGCAAGACCCCTCAAAGTCTCACCTGCACTGCTGATTCCATTTAGATATTACCATCTTTGTTGATATTTCAGCCCCATAATCAAAATTAATCTTTCGAACTTCCCTATCAAGTGGTCCTTTATAAATCCTATCTCCTAAGATACATGGTCCAAGAATTTTACAGCAGGAACCAGGAACAAAATCATGTCAATCTAAGAATTGAACAATAAAAGCAGGGCAAAGATATGTAAATCAGAATTTTCTTAACCAATTGACGACATACACATCCTATAGACACGGCTGCTTAAACCCGAATTCTCTAGAGAAAGCAACATTCCCTTTAACCACTAAAGCCACTCAATGAACCATCGTGTGTTTACAAGTGTTTGTTAACTTTAGCTGGTAAGACATTTTGGTTATATCAGAAACTTGGAAATGGATCAGGCCTTTGTCATCGATTAAGGATTTACAAAAATTAGGAGGATTGCATCCATGTCGTTCATTCCTAGTGTTCAATTAAGTGTCCAACAATCTCCCATCAAAATATCATAACCAAGGTCATGAACTATATATTGTATAACCTATACAAAAAACCAAGTTCATTATCGGAATCTCTCTAATCAAAAACTTCGGCATGCATCTGGACGTTCTTGAATTATCTCTTGCTCCCTGTATATCCTCAGTTATTTCTTCATCCTTTTGTATTTAAACATGATGAAACAATCCTTCAAGGGGGTAGGCTAATGTACCAAGAACCACTTCATGTAGAGACAATGGACGTGGAAATGATCTATTACGGATTATGGCAGATACAACTAAAGTGCCAATCATAATATGGCAAAAATAAATGCTGAAAATGCTAAATTGGTCCAGGAAAACATACATTGAAGAAGTTAAGACCACTAGTTCACTGAGTCATAATCACATATTCACAGTACTTTAGGGAGGAGGGGCAAAATGAAGGCAAATGATATAAAATGACAAGATAAAGAATCCACTGCGGCTTTACATGGTTTATGCTCATCTTTTACTGATAAAATGTAAGCAGCTTATTCATCGCCCAGGGCTAGCTCCAGCGCATAGTCATCCCGTTCCTGCCAAAGTTCAACAAATACAATTTTAAGACCATTTCAAAATAGTTGAAAGAATTAAGCAGTAAATCCTGAAAGAGGCAATGGCTATGCATCATCTTAGCTCCTTTTCAGCTATCCTTTAGTCTTCAACTGCTAGTTGGATATTAATATGTTCAACAAATTACATCGTTCCTCACTAAACTTTATTCGCTCTCATATTTTACTCATCGTACTTTTAATTTTTTTAATTTGCTTACTGAACTTTACAAATTGAATCATTTTGCTCACTACGCCGTTAACTTTTTAACGATGTTATGACATGACACAAGCATCAAAACGACGTCGTTTAGAAAAACTCAAACATACACCAAAACGACGTTGTTTCGAATACTCTTCTTTCCCCACGTTTTCTCTCTACTTTGCAAATAAGGTGACCGGTTTTCGCTAGGGATGTTCAAAAATACTTGTCTCGGTTGACCCAACCCATCGATCCGACTTAAAAAAACTGGGTATTTCTTTTAAAAAAATGACACGATCGGGCCACGTACCCAACCCATGATTTTTCCCTGGTAGTTGGAAATGGGTATGGGCCAATTTCTTTTAATAATATTATATATATATATATATATATATATATAGTTTAAATTATATTTTTATTTTATGTTCTTTAATATTTTTATCTTAAAATTAAATTTAAATCCTTAAATTTTTCTTAGGATTGTATTACGTACTTTTAAGTTTTGAATTTTTCAAAAAAAAAAGTTTATTAATTTTTCCATGTGTTATTCGAAAGAAAAAATCACGGTCGACTTTAATATTTTTAATGTTTTTATGTATATTATGAACTTTTAAATTTTTATGTATTTCCTATGTCATTTTAAAAAATAAATTTAAAAAATTTCATGTACCTAGACTTAACGGGTCGGATAACGGGCCGACAAATATACTATCTGGAGAACTGAGTACCCGATTTCAAACACCCCTAGTTGTCGTTGCCGGTCACCACGTCATTTTTCATTTCGATCACCGTCTACCGTCGTTAATGGTGGTCGTTCGGTCTCAAATTCATGGATCGGTTCGTCTCGATCCACTGAGCCCGAATCTGGTGGTTGTTTCACCGGAAAATGTCCCAAAATCCGTGAATCTCGATTGAAACGTTTTGACTTCCTCACTTTCAATCTCCAATTCGTGGACTTCAGAGCAAGTTCTGATAAAATAGAGGTCGGATTCGGACTCAAAGTGTCGAGTCAAAGCAACCCATGAAATTTGGGACCTAATGACCACCATCTACAGCGGTCGACGGTGGCCGACGGTGGTATCCAACCACCTTCTGTTTTTATTTTATAATTGAGTGAGCAAAATAAGAGAGAAAGTTCAATGAGGAATTATGTAATTTACCCTTTATAATTTTTAATTATTTTATATTAAATAAAAAAATAATATGTCATCACAACTTTAGATAGATAAAAGAGGAGAGAACAAAATGATTCAATCTGTAAAGTTCAGTGAGCAAATTAAAAAAACTAAAAGTATATTGAGTAAAATATGAGAGATAATAAAATTCAACAAAGAACGATGTAATTTACCCTTACAAAAAATATTCTTTTTTTAGTATTTGATGGGTGCAATGATTTTATTTAATATAATTCATTTTTTTGGTTCGTTCGCATTTTCTGATTTTTCTGTAAACTATTTTTCTAATTTTTCACTTGAAAACATGTTTCTTTGGAATAACTTGTTTTACATGTTTTTTAAGCTTATCAATTGCATCTTTGGATTTGATCAATGAAGCTTCCTTTCGACAATATATATATACAAGTTTACATTAAAAATGACAAATTTAGGTGTCAATTTAGATATTTAAAAAAAAATACCATATTAAAAGGGAGATAAATTCATATATCAAATCATATATTAGATTTTGAATTTCTTTGCCCACATCCGGTTAGCAAAGCTCAAAGTTGGGTCAAAAAAATCTATATTTCAAACACCACTTATACAAGACGACTTGGATCTTCGATGGAAGAGCCGGCATTTTTAAAAGCCTAAACAAATAAATACTAACCCTTTTACTACATGTGATACTGATACAGTCAAATGCAGGTTATTAGCAGAAGTTAGAACAATGAAAAAGGAAGAATCTATTTTAAAAAATGATGACAGGTTTTTCTAGACCCAAGAATCATACCCATTTCAGTCTTCCCTGGTACTCCACACACTGCTGGATTTTACCATCATGGGACATCACCTGAGTCTTCACCTTAGCTCTTCTTGTACTGTAGTTCACTTCGAACTTCGGGTATGGCTTCTGCTCATTTTCTTCACTAGCTGCACCTGATGTTTCTTGTAAGACTTCATCAAGGAACTCATCTGCTACATCTCCATCTTCGTCGATCCTTTGCTGCTTTGCATACCATTTCAAACCCTGAATTGAAAAGTAAACACAAAAATATCAGCCACTTGAAACATGCTTGATGAAGGTTCACTATGAAATAAGTAGTTGTAGCAGTTTGAAACAATCAAAAGTAGGGAAAATTTTATTATTAGAGAAAGTAATGCTGAGAAGTGGCCAATGAATGAAACCAACAGCCTGAGATACATCGTACAACTATCTTTTAGAACAGAACACCATACCAATAAAAGCTACTGCAACTTCCATATGGATATTCATTAGCCTCAAGCTTATATGAAGTGATCAATGGTAAATAATGTTAGTCACTGTTAGAAACAGAACCAATAATAAGTTGCATTTCCACCACCCTCTCCAGCTACTTCTTTAATTCACCTACTAGGCATTAAAAAATTTAACCAGTCCAAAATGTGACAGATTTTGATTCAAGAGTGAACCAAGATCAACTTGCAAAGGAAAAAATAGCATCTTCACATTTACATGTCTGCATGTTTATTAGACACAAATTCCAGTAGCATTGTCATTGTCCGCAAATCATGTTTCAAAAGGATACGGTTACGCATTCAAGTATACAGTCACTTCTGTCCTAGTGTTAGTTTTCTACCAAATCTTACACTAAATTTAGCCACCTTCAAAAGAAGGTAATAGCAAATGTGCTTGAAGAAACAATCACAAGCAAGAAAGTCCATTCATGAAATGGAACAAAATAATAATCTAGCACTTCAATCCATAAATATAATAAGTGTTAGATCAGACATGAACAAATCTTAATGAGAACAAATAAGTAGCATGTGCTTGGATGATTACAGTCTTACAGACTTGATCATGCATAACATCATATATACTCGATAAGGAAAAAAAAGGGTGGAAATCTGAAACCAACAACCAAAGATTCATCCCCAAGCTGAGAGAGATTTTTGTAGAACAGCCTCATATTCAGGGACGGACGCAAGAATTTATGTCAGGGGTGCAAAATTAGCTTATTAATTGAAAATACAAAGAAAATACATAAACCATATGGGTTTTTGAAATTTCTAGAGGGTGCGACCGCACCCCCCTTGGTCCATCCCTGCCCATATTTATTGAACAATAAGTCAAGACAGGAACACGAGGGAAGGAAAAAAGAAGAAGGGAAGTTTATATCTTTTAGTAAATGAAGATAAACAAAAGACAGAAAAGGAATCAAAATAAAGAAATGATAATAAAACCATAAGCTAAACAAAAGTAATTTATTGTGTCTAATATGCATTAGAATGCATCTTTCCAAGTGTCAAGCCATCAATTACATCAGGATCTGATCTATCATTTCATATTTTCCACGTACATCAGAAACAATAATGTGGAGGACAATTGAGAATTGACTCAAAATGACTACATCTCGAACAGCCTACTTGATATAAACATTAGAAACTCCACTCCATCATGACTTAAAACAGCAATCAAGCATGCCAATTGATTTCATTAACAGTAGATGTACCAAAAAAATTCAAGCAGCAATCTTGGATGGAAATCCAATGCTGAAGTTTGAAGATGCCAAATAGCACCAAACCCAGTTAAAAATTATAGAAGGAAGATGATCTGGCCTGAAAGTACCCTCTATCAGATAGGTCCTGTCTTCAAGGACATCAAAGATTCTAGTATAAAAAATCTTTCAACCAAGCTAACTTCAGGCTCTTAACAACCTATTACACGATTCAATGTCGATTCTCCCTCACTTAATTCCAAATTATTAAAGTTTAGACATTGGTTTCTAGCTTAACTGAACCAAGAACAACTAGCAACACTTAATCTCTTATTCAGAAAACCACATTTAAGCTGCCTAACTCTAATACCCAGAAGTCAACTCATAACAACAACAAAAAAAGTACTAACTACATTTACCATTATAGCATTATATCAAGAACCCACATCTTAAAATTTGGAAACTATGAAAAAACACCATTAGAAAATAAATCGAAAGAAACTGGGATGGACCTGGACGCCGCCGTCACCGGAAGCGGAGGGGAGAATGACGGGACCGGGCTGGGAACGATCGACGGCGACTTGAATAGGGACGCTAAAACCCCTCCGAGGAAGGCCGGTTTCTTGAAAAACGGGACGGTTACCGGTTGTTTCATTATCGCTTTGATGGTCGTTTTCTTGGTCTTTTACTTCGTGAGCATCGTCTCTGGCGAACCCCAAAAACCCCGCTATCCTTCTAAAGAATCGCATAATCAAAGATCAACCTCGATCGATAACTGAATCGAAGAGCTAAGCTATGCAAATCGAGGAATCAGGAGAGAAAAGAAAATAAATCTATGGTTTGTCGAGAGCGTTGAAAACGGCGAAAGTGGGGGAATACGTTTGGGGAAACTAGAAAACAAGATTGGAGGAACCGTGATTTACTACATCATCAATATAACAAGTGCCAACGCAGGCCCGTATTTGAACATAGACAAGAGGGGCATTTGTCCAGGGCCTTCTCTTGCCCCGGGTCCAAAATTATGGAATCCATATATATATATATATGTAATTAAAAAATAATAAATTATTTATTTAGTAACACATATTTTATTTTATTTTTTCAATTATTAATTTTAAAAAATATATATATATATAACGTTTTATTTTAATTTTATTAGATAACCATCATTAAAAAATCAACATTTTAATTTTATTAGATAACCATCATTAAAAAATCAACAACAATGTTGATATTATAAATTTAATTTTTTTCGCTTTTCATTAAAATTATTTTTTTTGGCTATTAGGGGTATACCCCTAAGCAAGTGTTTAGACCTCCCATTTTTTTTATAGAGTCTCTAATTTTTTTAATTTTAGTTTTTTATATTTATAATTTATGTCCTTATTTTTTATAATTCTACTTTTTATCTTTATAATTGAGACCCTTATTTTTTTTCAATCCTATTTTTTAACATTTATAATTGATAATTTTAAGTTTTCCAATCCCACTTTGCACCTTTATAATTGAACTCCTGATTTTTTTCAATTTCATTTTTACCTTTATAATTGAGGGCCCTAATTTTTTTAATCTCACTTTTTACCTTATATTTGAGGTCTCTAATATTTTCATTCATACATTTTATTTTTATAGTTTAAGCCCCTAATTTAATCACTTTTATACAATTTATTAACATAATATTAAATTAATTATTCAAAGTATTAGACTATACTTTTGTTTTATGGGGTCTATATTTTAGTTTCGCTCATTGCGTCGAAAATGTCTTAAACGGGTCTGTATTTATTAGATAGTTTATTAAACCTAATACAAAATTTACAAGCAAATTTATTTATTTTTTTCTCGTTCTTATAATTTAATTTTTTTATACTTATCATTGGATGCCTAATTTTTATATTCTCACCAGACCACTAAAATCTTAGAAACGAGCATGAGCCGTGAAAATGATCATTATGTGATTTAAGGTAAACTATGTATTTAGTCATCCATTTATTTCTATGATTTCGATTTGGTTACTTAACTATTTTTTAAAATCACACCTAACGATGTGATTTTATTCTGTTTTTAATCACTCACACAATTAAAAATAAAATTGTCGGCATGATAATTTTTTTTAATAATGACGTGACATTATCTTATGGTGACACATCAGCATCATAATTAATTTTCTAACGACGAATGAACAAAATATAACACAAACGAAACATTAAGTACGTTTCCGAAAAAATAATTGGTGACCAAAACAGAAAACAAAACATTAAGTATATTTCCGAAAAAAATAATTGTGTGACCAAAACAGAACTATGAGAATATGTGAGTGACTCGATACACAGTTTATCCAATAATCTATCGACAATTTTATCAATAATTTGAGCCTGCACCAAACGCAACTTTACAACTTCTTTTCATTTACATTTAATACATTCTTTTTGAATTTTCTGTTCAGCCCACCGATATTGTTGTGAAATGACCCAAGGTGACCCATTTGCTTTTGCCGTTAGACTTTTGCTTTGTTTTCAAAAGTTGTTTCTAATGTGTGCTGTACAGCAATGATCAGGAGTACCATTTCAAAGCATGGATCTCCCTCACTTATCCCACGTTTCTGGGAAATTTCAGGCACGGTATTTGGTTGTTAATCTTAAACCGTTGGTTCAGATTCCAATACCAATATTTATATTTGAATGTGTATCGAATATGATATGCTTATCATGGTTTAATACTATAATCAGGTCAGGTCAGGTCAAGTCAGATAAGGCGTGAAAACAAACGTTTTTGTTGTTGCACATGGTTTGAGTTGTGTGAAAACATAGCAGCAGATATTCAAGGGATGTGAGTAAGGGTGAGTAAAATTAAAGTCAATTAAAATATAATTTTTTGATCTTATATTATTTAAATAAATTTTAAATTTTAATTTAATTCGATTAAATATTGACTCTAAATTACTATTATTACATGCGTATTCGAGGACAGGCAAGCATCCGTGAATTACTACGAGATTGGCGTGGTCTGTGAAAGACCACACCCCCTACCTACATTTGCCACCGTTTTTGGTATCCTCTCGCAATTATTACAGTCATTGTTTTTTCCTCCTTTTTTTTTCTCCCTATCACATATAGGGATGAGACTCGAAATCGACGGGTTATGATTCGATCTAATCTCATTCGATCGGGTCGAGCTTTTAAAAAAAATCTGGTTCTGGTCCGGTTGGGTCGGTTCGGATTTTTTAAAGGTGGTATTTGGGTCTAGTCAGATTCGAGTTTAGGGTAAAAAATATCCAATCCGACCCTAAAAAAATGATTTTACCTTATATAATCAGAAATAATTACAATGATAACTCTCTCTATATTATTTTTTCAATTAAACTATTATTTTTATTGAATAAAAATAATATTTTTTATTATTTCTGGTGGGATCGGATATGATTTAGATTTTATCTCAAAAAATTAGATCGTTTCAAATCAGGTGGAAGGTATATATTTTTTAGGTCGAATCGGGTGGGTTGCCCATCCCTACTTTTCACAGATAGATAACATTATATCACGTGCTTGCTTCCACCATGCTAAATTACCCTTTTAAATTTTCAAACAAAACAAAAAAAATGAATTTTAAATTTCAAAATAATATATATGAACTCATAAAAATATTTAGATGTCATAAAATATTCTTTTTATACAATATTTAAACTAATAATTTTTATATTGAAGATGCATTTAAACATATATAAACTCTTCGCTTTTAAAATTTATTGAGTGAAATTAGTAGAAAAAAAATATTATTCTATTTAAATGATTTGTGGTCAAATAATTGTATCTAAAAGGTGAATTTACATCATCAAAAAACCAACAAAAATTTCAATTCACTTATTATAAAATTTAAGGTAAAGTATACAAATGGTCCCTCGGCTATATAACATTGTTTTGTTAAGTCATTTGACTATTAACAATTACAAAATTGGTCACATGACTATTCATATGTTTCAAACTCATATTTTTCTGTTAAAAATAATGGTTGTCTGAGATGAACGTTAACCTACTCACTAAGATATGATAAAATTATATTTCAATAATGTTTACTGGCATTGTCATTTCTTTCAAGCATGGCTCAACAAACATTAGCTCAATGACATAATGTAAATAGAAATTCGATCTATATACAGCTCAAACGATTTTAAGATTAAATTTTATCATATCTCTGTGAGTAGATTAACGTTCAACCTAGACGTTCGCCATCTTTTTAGAAAAAACGGTGAGTTTGAAATATATGAATAATCATGTGATTATTTTGTAACATTTAATAGTCAGAAGACTCAACAAAGTAACATCTTATAGTCAGGGAATTTTTGTAACTTTACTCAAAAAATAATATCATATAGTTGAGGGACCAATTATGTACTTTATCCTAAAATTTATTACTATTACTTAAAAAACCCCAACTCTCTTAAACTGCCACGTAACCTAATCTAAAGTCACAGTGAAAAAAATGAAAACAACCCCCAACTCCCCCACGAAAATAAAGTGCACTTACAAGAAAAGAAGAACCCTAGTTGGAGGGTGGAGAGGTATAATTACACATTTGTTTCAAACAAAATCGAAAGGGGCTTTTTTGTTGATTTCCCAGTTGTGTAATTTCATCCCTTTATTCTTGAGTTCCAATTTTCCCCATTTCTCAAAAGTAGTTAAATCGCGAACTCTTTAACTCAAAGCTCTGTTCTCTTCTCTCTCACATTTTTCACAGTTTCACTCAGATTTCTTTTAGGGTATAAGAATGGAACCCAGAGAAGTACAAAGCCCGGCAGGAGGATTACAGGTACAACAACAACAACAACAACAACAATCGCAACACATGTTAATGGGGCAAGCATCTTCCTCCTACCCTTCAAATCCCGCCTTGATCAACTCCAATCCAACGGCTAACGTCCCTCCTCCTTTCCCTTTCAACTCACTATCTTCGCCGGTTCCGCTGCAGCGTCATCAGCAGCAAAACCAGAACCAACATCAACAAGATCAACATCAACAGCATCCTAAGCCGTTCGATTCTATGAATTCGGCCGGTTTTGATGAATTGCCGCAGTTTAGGTACAATACGGAGCCGGCCCTGAAGAAGAAGCGAGGTAGGCCTAGAAAGTACGCTCCCGATGGTAACATTGCACTTTTACAACTGGCACCAACCCCTCAGATTGCTTCTAACTCGGCGAATCACGGCGAAGGCGAATCCGTCGGTTTGGGGAGTAATAGTGGTGTTGGGGCTGTATCTGAACCTCCGGCTAAAAAGAACCGTGGAAGGCCACCGGGTTCTACCAAAAAGCAGATGGATGCATTAGGTAACTAATAGTTGCAATTTGCTTATTATGTCATGTTTTCTTTTCTTTTCTTTTTTTTTTTTTTTTTTTGTAAGTTTTGTGACTTTGGTTATTTTGTGAGCAGGAGGAGTTGGAGGGGTGGGATTTACGCCTCACGTAATCACCGTGGAAGCCGGCGAGGTGAGTTGCCTTTACATGAAATCGTAATGGTTATCGTCCCAGATGAAGATAAGAGATATTATTATTGGCCTTGTCTGATTTATATTTGGGAATGATAAAAGTTTTTTTAGATTGTAATTCAATTGTTTAAACCTCTTGTGTTAGTGGAATCATCCATACTTTGTGCTGGTAGGCAGTAGCATCAAAAAGAATATTTTCAAACTTTAGAATTATGATTTGTGGAAAATGATTGAATGGAAAACAGCTCATCCTCTAGCTAAGTGGGCTTTATGGTGATTATGTTTAGTTCGAACTGTATTTTTGCAAGCTCCAAACCCGTGTTGGCTCGATGTGAATTGAGCACGAGCATGTGGAGAGTAGCTTGAGTTCTGAATGTTTACTTTTCCCCCCTTTTTTGTTATTGTCAAAGGGAAAATATTCATTGATTGTTTAATGGAATGTCTCTTCCAGTCAATAACTTGAGGCAAAATGAATACTCTTTTAGTCTTATTCAATTAAAGGTTGATCTGCTTAAAAAGTACATCATGGTGACAAACTTGCAAGACTTCCTTTTGCAAATGTTCTTGACTATCGGATCTCGTCTTTAGAGTGCTTAATTCATGTCCTTTTCATTTACAGGATGTAGCATCAAAGATTATGGCTTTTTCACAGCAAGGACCGCGCACAGTCTGTATTCTCTCTGCAAATGGTGCCATCTCTAATGTCACTCTCCGCCAACCTGAAATGTCTGGTGGTACAGTGACATACGAGGTGCTTCTAATATCAATTATCAATTTATAGGATCCATCTGATAAACTAAACTTAAGCTTGAATGAGATGCATCTGCTCAGCACCTTTGCTTAGATAGGAATAGGATCGTATCCATGTTTCCAAGGCTGCTGGAGTAAAAACCTTTTTTACTTTCCTTTATACAGGAAAAAGAATAATTTCTATATGTTTTGTATTTGATTTTTAAAAGAACTTTCTTTAACGAATTATAAGTTTCTTGTTGCATGTTAGTATCCCATTCCAAGCATAAAATAAAACCCATCGATGTACTAATTTTATGTTAATATAGATCTGAGGGGATACTGCTATCCATATCTTGCATCATTTTAGCTTAGTGAGGTTCATTGTCAAAAAGACCAGGCAATTATTGATTGTGTTACCTGAAGTAGACGAAGGTTTTGAAGTAAACCCTCATAGTTCAAACTTGATCAGTGAAACAACAGAATGATAGTAGAAAAAGAGAACAGATTTGTCTGCTTTTGGAAGGAACCAAATTTGGTGTGTGTATGGTCGTGCTAGATGGACTTGTTCCTTGGATACAATTATTATTCTGGACCCTTCCACTACTAGCTAGCTTAAGTATGGTTTCGAGAGGGGGGAATGGTTGAGCAAGCCTGTTGGCTGCTTTGAAATTATACACAATTTTAGAAGTTTGACTTGTTTTTCCTTGCTCATTTTCAACACATTTTAAATATGGAATCATTTTTTTACTTGCAGGGCCGGTTTGAAATTATTTCTTTATCAGGTTCCTTCTTGCTTTCTGAAAATAGCGGTGGTCGCAGCAGGAGTGGTGGTTTAAGTGTCTCCTTGGCTGGATCCGATGGTCGAGTATTAGGTGGTGGAGTTGCAGGGATGCTACGGGCAGCATCACCGGTTCAGGTATCTCTCTGTTTACAAATTTGTAGATGCTGAAAATTTTGCTACATATACATATCAAAATCATTAAGTAGTTCCGGATCGAGGCTTGATTGAATTTAGATTTTTTTGCATCTCAGACAATCATAGTTGGTGGATAAGCATCGGGGCATATCGTCAGGTTAAGACAAAGATATCAATGTACTTCATTCCTGGTTTTGTGACTTCTTTCTATCTACTGCCAGGTCATTGTTGGCAGCTTTATTGCCGATGGAAAAAAACAGAGCTCGGATGCTTTCAGAACAGGACCGTCCTCCGTACTAGCATCAAACATGCTCAATTTCAGAGCTCCAGGGATGACAGGCAGCCCTCCTTCGCAAGGTGGCTCAAGCGAATCGTCTGACGAGAATGGTGGTAGCCCTCTTAATCGAGGATCCGACTTCTACACCAGTTCTGCTCCATCAATCCATAACAACAATGTGCAAATGTACCAACTTTGGACTGACCACAGTCAACAATGAAGATGCTTCGGAACTAAAAACAGTAGAGCACATCGGGACGCCGACTTGGTGATTGTTACCGTAACAGTTCCAAATCCTAACATATGCATTAAAGACTAGAAATGGTAGAATCATTTTCATCGTAGATCAAGTTATATCAGTTATGTTTTTGTGTAGTCCTCCATACTGGAAATTGTTGTCACCATTGACCCACCTCCTGCTTCAGATAATGTATTTTGCTTATGGGAAACGTGTCATGGCCGCCATTTTGGGAGCCATGATTAGACCATGTATCGCTTTTAATTTAGTTGTTGATGACAGATGTAGGCTATTGAAACTGTCAGTTTGTCTCTCTAATTATCGATATCTAATTTATTAACTGAGACTGTCTCATTCCAACCGGTGTTAGATGGGGCTCCTTACACAAAATTCCACCTATTGAAGATAGAACAAAGAAGTCTCCTTGCGAATTCTATGGAGAATAAAATTTCACCCGCATTTTGTCATGAAGGCTGGATGTTCGATGAAATGCCGCAGTCGCATTTACTTTATTACTTGACCTTGTTAGTTTTGTATGTTTCGTGAAGGAAAATACGTGACGCATAAATTTCAACGAACCTATAGTATTATTATTACAATATCATCGATGGCAACGCCTTATGCGGGGATCACACATGTTGATGTCGGTAAGGTATTGATGAAAGTTCCTATCAAGTCCCTGTTGTGGGACTGAATCAATCAATTCATTCAATCATAGAGGACTAATGTGGACCAATCCCTATAATACCCACTCTACAATAGACAGATCAAATTGATCCATTTAATAGTATAGGAATTGAATTGGTATAGACCCTTTAATAAAGGGACTTGATAAGTACTTTCACCATAAGATACTAGAAAATTGTATTCCCTTCACGCGCCTTCATGTGGCAATGCTTTGCACCACAGTGCCACCTGCCAACTATAACTGCACAAAAACCCAACATTAGTTTCAATGAATTAGCTTTTCTATTAACTGTTAATGATTACCATAAGATCCTAGGGTTTTTCACCATTAATTAATCATGTCTTCCGATCTAAACCTAAAGGGAAAAAAGGAACTTTAATCCTAAGCAATGAAACGTAGCGTAGCGGCAGAACTTGTCCTAAATACCGAGTGTTGAGAAGAACACGCGCTGGTGACTGAGTGTGACAGTTTGCTAAATCCGGCATGTCTTATTCCAACTACTGCCAAAGAGCTTTGTTCGAAATGGCAACGGCTCTTTTGGCCAGCAATATACAGGGCGTTTGTTTTCACTATTTAAGATTTTTAAAGTTTTTATGTTTACGCCGTATAGATACACGCAGACATTGATCTTCGCATACTATTTATATTTTAGAAGACAGAAGTTCTTCTAACGTCTGCGCGTGGTCTGTGTAACGCAGACGTAGCCTTATGTCTGCAGACGTCTTCTAACCTCTTCAAATAACCATTTTTATTATTAATTTTATAAAAATTATAAAATATCATTAAATTTAATGAATTATTACAAAATAGTCACTATAATGTTGTAATAAATTATAAAAATTCGATAATATAATAATTATTTTATAGTATTTAGATAAATTTATTAATAATTTTATAATCTTTTAATAAATTTAATAAGTATTTTATAATTTTTTAATTTTATTGACGAAAATGATCATTTGTATATAACTCAACGATATCTAATATACTTTATTTGAAAAAAATATTTTAAACTTAGTAAAAAATATTATACAATTAAACTTAGTAAACTTTATATATATATATATATAAACTTAGAAAATCACAGGGACATACAATTATTAGCATTTAAAGACAAAATAAATGTTTTAATAAAAAAATATTCACACTATTGAAAAATCTAATTCTTATCATTTAATTCTGGTAAAGTACGAAAGTCCCTTTATATATAATAAAAAAACAAATAATATATTTTTTCTAAATAAAAAAATACTAATTGATGTATATTATATGGAGTATATATTATATATATTTTTTGATGTTACTATAATCGGATTGTACCACTCGAATAAATTAAGATGATTTAAATGATATTATAAAATCGAGTATTGATATATTTGTGAATCGATAATAATTGAGAATTAAAATATAAATTTTTAACAATTACTTAAACCGAAACAAACAGATTGAATTAAAATCAAATTGATTTCATTATCGATTGATTTAATAATAATTTTTAAAATGATAAATAATATTAAAACCAAAATCTAATAGTCCGTAGATGTAATAATTTATAATAATAAAATTCGTATAATATTTATTTAATATATTTTTTCAAATAAAGTATTTTAGATATCGTTGAGTTATATACAAATGATTATTTTTGTCAATAAAGTTTAAAAATTATAAAATACTTATTAAATTTATTAAAAGATTAGTTTATTTATATTTCAGTTTATTTTAGCAGTCTACAGACGTTAAAAAATAAACAGTCTTCTTCTTGCAGACTGCAGACTTTTGGTCCACCTCTTCTGCTGCAGATGTTTGCAGATGTGATCCGCAGACTGCATACATTTTATCTCTTCAAAAACAAACACCACCTTAGTCTCTCTCTGTGCAGTTGCTTGGCCTTATTCAATGCCAAGAACTTGTCAATCACATTTCACTTTCTCATTCATATAAATACTTCCATTCCCCAACCTATAATCCACAATATCAACCCCATTCACATAGTTTCAAATTTTGGGTTATTACATGTTTTGGTTCATGGATTGCTTGGTATTGCCCGTTTGTTTGTTGCGAAAGCGCAGCAGCATGAGATCACGGCTAGGTTACAGGCCCCTAAAGAGCGAGGAGGATGGATGTGGCGAGGCGCAGGTGACGGTGGTTTTCGGGAAACAGAAGCGGGAGTTTTTGGTGGAGCCTTTCGTGCTAGAGAAAAGTCCGTTCAGGGTTTTGATCGAAACGATGAAGGGAGGAATGGATGGAAGAAGGGAGGAGAAGAAGGTGATATTCGTGGACGTGGATGATATATTGTTTGAACACATGCTTTGGTTGATGAACAACGATCGTTCTTCTTTGTTTCAGCTTAATCTCGAGGAGATTATCGATTTCTATGCTCAAGATTATTAGAACTCAAATCTTTGTTTGTTTTGTAGTCTTACTAATTTCAACTTATCCAGCACAATGACATTTTAATAAGCCCGAATATTTGTGTACCAAAAACCCAACTACCGCATTGCTGCTGGATGAGTTGTAGAGGAGGTAAACCATGTTAAAAATGCTTAAAGATTAAAATAGGTAGGTGCCAAAATGTACTAAATTAGATAGATTTGGTTTTAAATTATTTATACGAATCTCAAATAAATTGATATTATGGGTGTATGTGTCTTGTATACTTGATTTAGAGATCAATATGCCATAGTTGGAGGGTCATTTATGCATTCATAAGTTGTATAGAATAACTCTTAGAACTTGGTATACAATGCGGGAACTTGGTGATAGAGTTTGGGGGTTAACTTAAAGCTTTAAAAACTTTAGAGGTTAAAATTAAATTTTTCAAAGATTGAATGATTCAATTTACATGTTTTTTAAAAAAATGGGGTTTAACTAAAATTTCTGAAATTTTGAGACGCTTAATGAGAATTTTTAAAAACTATGGGAGGGGTTTAATTAATAACATTCAAAAAATTAAAAGCTTAATCAGAATTCCTAAAAATTTTGTGGGACCAAATGAAAATGTTTTAAAAAATTTAAGGGTCAAAATTATCATTTTCCAAAATATTTTGTTCTTTTTTTGTGGGTGGGGGCATGGCCCCACTAATCTCCACTGTGTTCCTCCTTTGTAGGTATACTACATCTTTAGTCGTGTATTTTTTATGTATGATTATATTATAAGTATTTGAAGGATGTATTAAGTTTTAGGTTCAACTAAAAGTGTTTCGAGACTTCCAAAAACTTGTAAAATTATATATTTAGGACATTCAGATTGTAAAATATTGAATTTCAAACCTTTTGAATCTTAAATTGATATCTTGAAAATTTTATTGATACAATGTTAGGCATTGATACCTTGTACCATGATATCAATATCATAATTATAAGTTTTTACAGTTTAATCCTAAAGTTATAACTTTGTTAACAACATAAAATTTTTAAATGGGATATGTACAAATAAAATTTCAGGATTGGCACCGTCTGTAAAATAAGTAACTAATCGAAGAAAACTCATATTTTATGATGAGCACGAAAAATTTCAGGGTAGACACCATAAGTAAAATAAGTAACTAATCAAAGAAAATTTAGATATCAGGTTAGGCACGTGCTCACCCTCACCAAGTTGTGGCTCCTCCAATGCACACCACTAATACAACACTGAAACACACCACTAATCAAATTGTCCTTATAAAGTAAACATTAAAAAACTGAAGGACCGTTCCATGATTAATCCACTAATTTTGTAGGATAAACTTTTAAATATTCATTAAAATATGTTAAAATAATCTTTTTTTTTTAGATATTAAACTTTCAAAAGTTATATAATAAATATTAACCTTTAATTTTTTATAAAATAAATATTTTAACTTTAACGGTCCTTATGGGTGAAGTCACATATTAAATTAATAAAATAATCTCATTTATCCCCTTATTTATAAATAAATTTCATCTTTTAATAAATTTTCAACGTTTCTAAGTAATAATTTTTTTAAATATATATAAATTATAAAATATTTTTTAAAAGTATAACTTTGTGAATTTTCTAATTCATTAAATTATTTTATAAATAATTTTTTAGTTAGTTATGATTAAATATGTAAAAAATTATAATTTATAATTTTTGAGATATAATAATTTCAATTATTATGGAATGATTTCTTATCTTGGGCCTCTATGTTTTGGAAAGGTAAATCGCTGATCACTTATATCTTGAAGATTGCTTCCACCGCTCTAATCTACATCCTATGGCAGGAAAGAAACAAAAGGATCTTCAAAGATAAATCTAGGACTTTTGAAGAATTGCTACAAGCTATTAAGGAAACAATTGGTTTGCAACTAAGGGGTAGAAACCTTAATAGATTTGATAGTGTAAATATTACTTTATGTAGAAATTGGGGTATTGGTTGTTTGCTGTTTATTTTTGTATGTAGGACAATCCCTGTATTCTGAACACTGGTTTTTTGTAGCAAGTTTTTATTATTTGGGTAATAAAAATCAAATTATCCAAAAAAAAATTCAATTATCGAAAAAGCAAACTCAAATTTTTAAACAATATGATTCAATTATTTAAATTTTTTTAATAATTGAAATATGATTTAAAAATGTATTTATAATTTTAAAAATAAATTTTTAAATTCAATATATTTAAAAATAATAATTTTACTGGAATTCTTACTTAAAAGTCTTTAAAAAATATCAAAAGAAAATTTTAGTCACAATAGAGGAATCAAAGAAGACATTATTTTTATTAATTTGTCATATCATCCCTTAATGATAGCTAATGATTTGTGTTTAAATTTTTAACAAAACCTAATGTTTAATTCTTATTTTATAACTTTTAAAAAGTTGAATGACTAAAAAGATCATTTAACTATAACTTGACAATCATTTGTAATTTTACCCTATTTTAATTTAATTATTGGTGTCGTTTTAGTGATGTTCTTTGTTGTGCAACGTAAAATTTTTCTACATATAAATAATATATTAAAATTATACTTTATTACATGAAATAAACATATATATTAATTGAATAGAATAATTAAACAGGTATATATATATATACATATAATCTATGTGCCAAAGAAACTAGTTAAATTAAATTAAGCACAATGAGGATGTAAACAATAAATTTGAGTCATTAGAGAGAAAATGTATTTCAAATTATTAATTAACTAACACTATGAATAGAATAAGAAACTACTGGTGAAGATCAAGACTGGTGTTCATCCTAAAAGAGCTAAAAACAAAGATTAACATCAACATAAGAAGAAGACGAAGATGAAGAAGAAGAAGCATGGTGATGATAACTAGTCCATGAATTTTTCTGACCTTTATGATCCAAGAATATTCCCATGTTTTCCTAATGCAAACTGCGCCGAATTTCTCAAAAGGGAAATTGGACATGATTGGGCTGCATATTGACAGGCAGATTGAAGAAGGGCAAACCCCCAGCGCCACCTCCCGAGTCAGAGAACATATTATTATCCTCACCACCGCCGCTGCTTTGCAGCTGCAGCTGGTCATCCTCTTCCAAAGGCAACCTTTCATAGGCGACATTCGAAAACGACGAAGCTATAACAATAACAGGCCCCACCGTCATCAGTTCCCCGACCACGTTTCCTCCCACAACCTGCCCTTGTCCGCCCGCCAAAAAGATCGTCAAATTGGTGGCACCCGGAGGAGCCGGTGGCGGCAAAAACGAACCCGAAAGCGATAATATTTCAAATCTGCCTTGAAGGTTAACAACAGCTCCGGCTCCAGCTGGTTGACTAATGCTCACGTTGGTCACCGTACCATTCCCGCTCAATATACAGATTCCCCTCTTCCTTCTCCGAGCATAGTTGGCGATACAGTCCAACACATCACAGCCGTTCCCGACTTCAAGAATGTGTGCTCGGAGCGTGTTCGCACTCTCCCGCGTGATGATGACGGGAGGCGTTGGTTTGTTCTTTGAACCCGGAGGACGGCCTCGTGGCCTACGTGATACGAGGTCATTCGAGTTGACTAAGTCCAGGCCCAGGTGAGAGCCGTCGTCTTGGTACGCGCCGCCACCATCGGCACGGTTGTTTGAAGCTTCGTTTTCTTCCGGTTCGGTTGGTGTTGGAGGTGAAGGTCCGGTCTTTGAAGCTGATGAACATAGCGAGAAACACCACCTAAATCAAGACCGGCCACACCAGCAGCATCAAAGGACAACAGAAAACGAGGAATAACAAAGGATTAAAAGTAACAAAGAAGTAAAACAAAATTTCTTAATTAGCCGTATAAAAAATACGGGTTCAGATTAAACAAAAAAGAAAAACAAGAAGCAAAGGGGGATTGGATGAAGCCAAGGTAAACGCCAAGGAGAAGACGAAAACGGTGTGAAGCACGACGCAGGCATTGGATTCCTGACCACGTGCTGGACTATTAATTTATATTATATCATAAAATTAGCTACAAAACAAATTTATTAAATGTAATACAATATATTTAAATAACTAGGAAATACATAAGCTTGGCCCGTCTTTGACTAATTCATTGATTAATTCAAGTCGTCAACAACTAAATGGGTAAACTACCTATTGGGTCACTCACCTATTATTTACTTTCTATTTTGATCATTTAACTATTATTATTTCCAAAAATATATCTAACATTAAATTCTACTCCTATTTTTGTCATCATCCGTTAAAAAAAAACTTAGTAGTAGCATTGACATGTCCTTTTTACTATTATTTTTTTAATGTTGATGTGACATTATCTTATGGTGACATATTAATATTATTTTTCAACTATTAACATAATTAATATTTTTAAAAATTGAAGAGTGACCAAAACAAAAACTACAAAATAAGTGGGTGATCAAATACAGAGTTTCATGCATGTGTGAAACATGTGATTAAGTCAATCAATTATTGAAAGAAAAGAAACGAGTTTCTTATTTAGAAGCAAATCACATTGATTGTTATAACACAAAATTAAAGAAAAAAAATTCATATTTCAAATCACGAGATCATTGAAGATTTACCAAGTAAAAAGTCTGACTATATATTTGACCCAAAAAAAACCATATAACATGTTTTTTAATATTTTAACACGTGGACAAATATATATCTTACAATCAACTGAATGTTAAACACGTGGACAAATCATTTCAAAGTAGAGAATTATACAAAAGAATATGAATTATATGAACAAAAATAACGATAAAATTTAAAAGCTAGGATTAAAAAACAAAAGTTAAAATTTAAAACCTAATGTTAGGGATAACCTACTAACTTACTTCCTCTTACCCCATTATATATGGGAACAAGGGACAGCCAGTCCATGGTGCATGTGACGGTCTTGAGCACGTGTTAAGAGGCCCAAACATCAATGCGTACCCATGTTGCTTTTAAGGTTTTGGGGTTTGCCCCCTCCCACGAGACACCAGGCGG